TAGTGGTATTTGTTTACCCTGGCAAAAAATACATCAAAATAAAGGTTTTTTCATATATTTGTTATTTTTTATGATTAAAGTAACAATTTGATTAAATCAGGCAAGTTTGTGTATGAAAGCATGATTTTTTTCTTCATTTTTTTATATAAAATTCCATGTTGATCAAAAATTTTTTGTTAGTGAGTGACACTTGACCCACTGTAGATCCGACTGATAATGGACATTCACTTATCACATTGTGACTTTGATTTCATTGGCTAAATTTTACAATGATCACCCTCCAAAAAATCACACAAAAATCAAATTTTATTGGCTTGAAAATCTTTTACAAAAACAAAATTTATATGGGGCATTGGGGTGGTCAGTCAAATATGTAAATCAAAATTATATGTGGTCATATGAAAAATAATATACAGTCAACCCCCTCTAAGTGCACACCCCCTCTCCCCTGCACTGCACGGTCATTTTTCATATAAAACTCCCTCTCTAAGTGCACACCCGTGACCTCCATGTGATCGTTGTCCAGTAAAAATTGTGCAACGTTATAAAATTAAATAATTTGGGTTCCATCCTAGCAAAAAGATGCTTCGGGAAAAAAAGGGGTTTTTGAGAAATCAGCTGATTTTTGCTTTTCTCCCTATTTTTTTGTCAAACATTCCCCTGATTTTTATTCTAAAAATAAATTACTAACCCCTTTTTGTCCATATAAAATAATTTTTTTAAATATTTTAATATTTTTACAATAATTAAACATGACAACTAATCAAGAAACTTCTCAATATTTTTATGATTTATTTGAACTTGGTTTAGAAGAATATGATTGTTATGAAAATATTCAAGAAACTATTCATAATTTAAAAAATTTTTTTGAAAATCCAACGAGTTGTGTTTGCCGTGTTTTGAAAAAACAAAAAGACATTAGAACTTGTTTTGAAAAAATTGGATTTAAAAAATTTTTTCAAAGACATTTTCAAATTATTAATTTAACTAACAAAGAATTGGATTTATTTTTGAAAGCACAACTTTTGGCAATGGAAATAGAAAATAAAAATTTTAAAGAGTCTTCTGAAAAAATTCCTCAAAGAATAAATTATCAATTTTGTTTTAATTCAACATATTCTCTTTGCAAACCAATATTTTTAATGTTATACAATATAAGTGATCATAAATTTGAAAATATTGTAAAACATTTACACAATGAAGGAATAAGTGAATGAATTCATGGAAACACAGGAAGAGCTCCTATATATAAAACTAAAGTCAATATTGATGAAAATTTAAAATTCATTGTAAGAAATTTTCTAAATCAATATTCTTTAATACATGGGTTACCTTCACCAATGAGACATAGAAATGATTCTGGAGCATTTATTTATCTTCCTACTGATAAAAGATTTATATCTGTGTATAAAGAATTTAAAGAATTTTATTTAGAAAATATTTTGAAAGTTGAATCTGAAAATGATTTAAAAGAGGAAAAAATTATTTCTTACAATTCTTTTAGAAGATTATGGAATGAACTAATGTCTAATTTAAAATTTCAGCCTCTTGCAAGTGATTTGTGTGATAATTGTGTTCAATTTAAATCAAAATTGCAATTAGCAAAAAGAAATATTGATGAATATAATAATGTTGAAGCTGAATTTAATGAACATAAAAAAATGGCAAACCTTGAACATGATCATTATAATAATAATATTGAATTAAGTAAAAATGATTTATCAATTGCACATATTTGTTATGATTGGGCACAAAATGTCACCATTCCTTATTCACCTCAACAAGCAGGACCATTATATTTTTTATCAGGTTATGCTGTTCATTTATTTGGAGTTTGTAAAACTGAAGGAGGAATAAATAAACAATTGAATTTTTTAATAGGAGAAGATGAGCTTCCTCAAGGCACATCTAAAGGAGCAAATACTACTTTGAATTTAGTTTATCAAGCTCTGCAAATATTTGCAAAGAATGGTAAAAAAAAATTGCATATAACTTGTGATAATTGCTCTGGACAAAATAAAAATAACTTATCTCTTTGGTTTTGGACTTGGATAATAATGCTGGGTTGGTATGAAAAAATTACAGTTAGCTTTATGATTCCAGGACATACAAAATTTATATATGATTCTTTTTTTGGTCATATAAAAAAATTATATAGAAAAAGTAAGATTAATCAGATTAATGATATTGAAGAGATTGTTAAAGATTCTTCAGAAGGAAATGAATCAATACAATATAAAGATGGTTTAGGGTGGAAATGGTACAATTTTGGAGAATTATTTGAAAAAATTTAAAACTTTACCTAATATAAAGCAATATCATCATTTTAGATTTAACAACCTGCCTGAAAACAAAGGAAAAGTTTTTGTTTCAATGAAATCTGGTGAAGAAGAGTCTTTTAATCTTTTAAAAAATAATAACTTTAATCATAATGATCCCATTAATATCATTCCAATTAATATAGATTTAGAAAAAAAATTATATTTATATAAAAAAATTAGAAAATTTGTAGAGGAACCTCATAAAGATGTTCATTTTTCAAATCCTAATTCAAATGA